GTTTAGTATAACATAGCCTATAATAGTATAGCGTAGCATCGTGTAGTGTAGTGCAGTGTAGTAACAATATATAAAACATGCTCATGCCTGAACAATCACATCCGCAGGGCTGCCATTTACTGGGTACATCGGCTGGAAGGTATCTGGATCTGCCAAGTCACCGTCGCCTTTATCTGCTTGTCGGAGGCTGTGTTAATGCAGTACCTGTGTTATAAGGTTAGTGTCAGGTACAGCCACGTGTTCGTTTTTCTGGGAAAACCTTTTAGCGATTACAGTTTCATAGCAGGTCTTTTGCAGAACGTCGCTCTCATCACGGCCTGCCTGAAAGAAACTTGGTCTCTCACCAGCTCTACCGTCTCGTGCCCTTTCATATCTAAGGAGTCACATATATTCTGTGCCCATCTTTGAGTTGGTTGGCCCCTGCCCCTTCTTCCTGGTACCATGCCTTCTGTTATTATTTGTTCCAATTTGCCGTGGCGCTTAATATGGCTAAAATAAGTTAGCTTTCGAGACAAGATGCTGTTTATTAGCCAATCTTGCTTGATGTTCAGATCTTCAACTTCTAGTCGAGCTTGGCACTTGGATATGACGGTGCGCCTGAAGTCTTCTCCGGTGTTACCTTAGATTATCAAGCAAGGTTGCTTCTCTGGGCCAGATTCATTCTCTTTAACTGAAACCGTTTGAGAGTTTTGTGAAACATGCTCTGGTACTGACTTTAGTGCAACGCAACCGCCAATGGCAGATTCAAAGCAATGTTTCCCCTATGTGAATTTGAACAAAGAAGACACAAACAATAGACTGCACAATTTATTGCCTGGCATATTTCGCTGTATCTCGTCAGGTGCATACTACAGTAACAATTAATTAAAATGAAGCAAATAGCTGAATCCTAGAAACTGAAACACAAATTCGAGTACATTTCAAACTGTTTCACCAAGGTAAGCGTAGCGAAACGACCATTTCTTTTTGCCTACATAAATCCGGTTTCAATCTGCCAATCGCGGAAGCTTCCGCGTATCGAAGCAATCTATGGTTAGCCGAATTGTAAATAATTTGAAATGCAACATCCCTGTTAATGACGTGCCCGGAATTTAGAATATGGCCCGCAATTGCTGATGATGGATTATTTCGACCAGTCACCTGATTCGTTGTTGTTGAGGTGTTAGTGTTCTGCATTGTTTTTACCAACCATAGTGGAATATGTTCAGCAACCCGTTGCTTCAGTCGTCGATCAGTTCTGCTCACATATGCAGCGTTACAGGTGCATTTAAATTGGTATATACAGTTAGATCGGGCGTACGTCGACACTGGTTCCTTTACTGGTGGTGTATGAATCCTGGTGGTTTTAAATCTCATAACAGGCATGGCTGCGTAAAAGGTTTGACGGACTGCTGTTTTGAGTCGGTCATATATACGTTGCATGACGTCATCTCCCCGAAACGTTAGATGTAAATAGGCTAGTTTTTTTTTTGGCACCGACATTTCTATGGTAACTGGTTTAGGCGGCTGGCAATGGCACTTAATAAAACCACCTGGATATCCATTAGAAAGCAGTGTTTGTTTAATCGTTTCAAACTCAGCTTTTAGCGTGTCGCTGGAACAAATCTTCCTAGCACGGTGGAATAATGTCCTCACTAAACCACGTTTATCATGCAAAGGTGCAAAACTGTTGAAATGGATGTACTATCCTGTCCAAGTGTCATTACGATAAACTGACCTTTCAATAGTGCCATCATCTCTACGTCTAATTAAAATGTCTAAAAAGGCCAAGGTGTTGCTATTTTCATGTTGTAGGGACACAGTGATGTTTTTTTATTATTTGCTTCATTTTAATTAATTGTTACTGTAGTATGCACCTGACGAGATACGGCGAAATATGCCAGGCAATAAATTGTGCAGTCTATTGTTTGTGTCTTCTTTGTTCAAACTGCAGATTCAGCTAGATTTGTTTGATATAGATTTGCTCCGAGTTAAGTATCCTTTCTGGGGCTGCACATTCATGTCTGCGCGTTGTTTTACCAACTCTGTTTATATTGTATTGCTATGGTCTGTAATCGTTATTGTCTTTTCCCCCAGTTCCTCTTCACAGCTTAATTTATGGTGTCTTTGGTTCTTTGAAGCTCCGAGACGAGTGGTGTTGTAATAGATTGTCTGCAGTCTTTGCGAGCTTATCTGCCTTTTAATTTTCAAGGATCCACAGAGAGTTTGGTATACATTGCAGGACTGGTTCTATGCTCATGGACATTAGTCTAATTTTGGTGTTTATTTATTAGATAAAACCACATTTACAGTTTTTGTTTCTCCCTCACAGCAATTGACAAACAGCTACTGATGTGTATATCTTCTATCTTGCAAAAATCAGTTCCACAATAACCTGAATAAAATCAGTATATAGAAATAAAGAGTAATGATGTTGTTAGGGAAATTCGTTTCTGGAAAGAGACAAGGGAAGATTTAAAACCGAAGGAAATGTACATCAGCGAGCTTCACAATATAACAAATACAACCACGCCTGCAGATGTATAGGACATATAAGGCTAAACCTATATTTTAACTTGGTAGGTGATATGGTTGGCATAACCCCGGCCGCCTTTACTTCCCAGGAGTCTACCCATTTAAGTCTGGCTCTACCTGGGAGCCAAGGTCATTTAAAAAAAGTGCGTCTCCGTCAGGACCCGAACCTACCCCCTTTGGATCCACAGACGAGCGTCTAGCCGCTACACCACGGCGGCTCCCAATTTAGGCCCATATTTACAACTTTTGTGGTCTGTGCGGGGGGGGGGGGCGTGGTGGGGGGGGGGGGGGGTGGTCTCTGCTTCTGAGGTTTTAGGGCCACAAGACTAGTGCTGTTGCCACAAACTGTGCAGGTTATGATTTTTTGTGTGCCTCTGATAGAAAAGTGCCCATCCTTACCAAGGATTCGAACCTGGGTTCCCTCATGGAAGCCCTGCGTTCTTAACCATTCTACCAGCTGCTGCTCGTTATCCAGTTCACCTTGTATAATATTTATATTGGGACATCCAATGATTTATTGATTGACTGACGTTCAAACCCACCAGCACATCCAACGAGCGACAAACACTTGGTGACACAAAGGGCAACCATTCGGATGAGGACCACCCGGGGACCGGTCCCAGAAACGCCGTTCAACCCACAGGTTGAGTTATATTATGGGGCCCGGCAATAGCTGGAGTGGGGCTTTAAAATAACGAAAAATTGCGTCCCATACTGGCACAGTGATCTCATTGGAACCCAGTGGGTTACAGCTAATTAGCCTGGGACACATTGCTATTCTAGATGGGTAGAGGTTATGCAACAAAAATGAGAGATATTCTAAATGTGAAATGTCATTTTGCAAGATTCCACTGATGAATTATTCATGGGTTGAATATAAACAGGAGACAAAAATACAACCAGATAAGGTCACAGAGATCTCCAGGGGTGATCTGTTGTTGTGAGACAGTTGTTGTTGTTTTGTGGTTGTTGTTGATATGGGAATGTTGTTGCGAAAGCGATAGTGATACCATCATTCATTGGTTTTGTGCCGTCTCCACAATAAAGATTGGCTGCAGTGCACTTCTTCTTCTTCTCTTCGACCTTGTACCTCATCGAAGTGTCGGGGGGAGATGTAATGTTCGTTGATGAGCTCTGTCAAGAGCACTATTAAGACTGATGTTCATTTCTGAATACCATCACTCCATATTTTCCGAGGTCTTCCACTCGCTCTATACCCGTTGTAACGTTTTAGTGTGGCTCGCTGTGGCAGATAGTACCAGGGTATTCTTGTAAGGTGTCCAAACCACTTCATTTGTTGTTCTTTGATGGCCTGTAAGACTGGCTTTATTCCTAGCATTCGTCTGATTTCGTATTCTGTCTTTCCTTGAAACTCCTGCAGCTTTTCTAAGGCATTTCATCTCTGTTGTCACAATTTTACGTTCATTGGATGATGTGAGTGTCCATGTTTGGCATTGATAGCATACAGTGCACTAACTTCTGTAAATTACATGATAAGACCCTGATCCCACGGTGACTCTCTTATTACTGTCCGAAAACCAAGAGTTGTGTGTGTGTGCTACTCTTTTATTTACTGTCCTGAAGCAATACTAGAGGTCGGCATTGTGCTGGCGTTGCGAACGAGCTTCGTAATTCCAGAGTCAGGTACTCATGTTACTGACAGTTTTAGGTGAAGGTTGATATGTTAAGCCATGTTGGTGGGCAAAACATAGGAAGACCATCACATTCACATACCCATAGACAGTCCTGCCTCGCTGCAGGAGCAAGTGCGCTAAGACGCATGGCCAACTTGACACCCTTAAAACAGGCCCCTAAAACAGATGTCATCATATGCCGTGTCTGTTATACAGTTTGAGCCCTCAAATATAAAATACGGATATAATTCGTTTCAAACCATGAAAATAGCATCATATGTCACAGAAATTCATTTCTGATAGTGGTTGACTGGGTTTTTATTTACTCTCTAATTTCCACCAAGTGAATCAGCACAAATGTCAAGATTGACCATTTCAAGTAGAACTTAAAGTCAGCACAATTGTCAGGGATGTAAAGGGTAAATAAGACAATAATCAGGTGAAGACTTTTTTGTCCCAATGATCATTGGAGGTTGAAATCTCAGGGCAATATTCTGGAACAGCTTTTATCGATTGAGCTGTGTTGAGACTCCGTTTTTTATTTTAACGGTAAGCCCATGTTTTTTTGTCTGTCTACAGCTTGGCACTGTCTGGGTTTTGACAGTGTAAAGTCTTAAAGGCTTTGTGTAACGGGATTTTACTCTGTGTGTGCAGGGTCTTATAGGCTTTGTGTAACAATTTTATTCTGTGTGGTGCAGTGTGACTTATAGGCTTTTATCGATTTTACTCTGTGTGTGTGCAGTGTGAGTCTTTTAGGGCTTTGTGTAACAGGATTTTACTCTGTGTGTCAGTGTGAAGTCTTATAGGCTTTGTGTAACAGGATTTTACTCTGTGTGTGTGTGCAGTGTGAAGTCTTATAGGCTTTGTGTAACAGGATTTTACTCTGTGTGTGTGTGCAGTGTTTATAGGCTTTGTGTAACAGGATTTTACTGTGTGTGTGCAGTGTGAAGTCTATAGGCTTTGTGTAACAGGATTTTACTCTGTGTCAGTGTGAAGTCTTATAGGCTTTGTCAGGATTTTACTCTGTGTGTTTGTGAAGTCTTATAGGCTTTGTGTACAGGATTTTACTCTGTAAAGGCTTTGTGTAACTTTTACTCTGTGTGTGTGTGCAGTGTGAAGTCTTATAGGCTTTGTGTAACAGGATTTTACTCTGTGTGTGCAGTGTGAAGTCTTTGTGTAACAGCTCTGTGTGTGCAGTGTGAAGTCTTATAGGCTTTGTGTAACAGGATTTTACTCTGTGTGTGCTGTGAAGTCTTATAGCTTTGTGGATTTTACTCTGTGTGTGCAGTGTGAAGTCTTATAGGCTTTGTGTAACAGGATTTTACTCTGTTGTGTGCAGTGTGAAGTCTTATTTTTGTGTAACTTTTACTCTGTGTGTGCAGTGTGAAGTCTTATAGGCTTTGTGTACCAGGATTTTACTCTGTGTGTGTGTGCAGTGTGAAGTCTTATAGTTTGTGTAACAGGATTTTACTTGTGTAACTTATAAAGTCTTATAGGCTTTGTACCAGGATTTTACTCTGTGTGTGTGTGCATGTGAAGTCATAGGCTTTGTGTAACAGGATGTTGTGCAAGTCTTATAGGCTTTGTGTAACAGGATTTTACTCTGTGTGTGTGCAGTGTGAAGTCTTATAGGATTTGTGTACAGGATTTTACTCTGTGTGTGTGTGCAGTGTGAAGTCTTATAAACTTTGTGTAACAGGATTTTACTCTGTGTGTGTGTGCAGTGTCTTATAGGCTTTGTGTAACAGGATTTTACTCTGTGTGTGTGTGCAGTGTGAAGTCTTATAGGCTTTGTGTAAGGATTTTACTCTGTGTGTGTGTGCTGTGAAGGCTTTTTGTGTAACAGTGTAACAGTGAAGTTTATACTTTGTGTAACAGTTTTACTCTGTGTGTGTGCAGTGTGAAGTCTTATAGGCTTTGTGTAACAGGATTTTACTGTGTGTGTGCAGTGTGAAGTCTTATAGGATTTTTACTCTGTGTGTGTGCAGTGTGAAGTCTTATAGGCTTTGTGTAACAGGATTTTACTCTGTGTGTGTGCAGTGTGAAGTCTTATAGGCTTTGGTTAAAGACAATGTGTGTGTGCAGTGTGAAGCAGAACAGCCTCTGTGTGTGTGCAGTGTGAAGTCTTATAGGCTAATGTGAAAGACAATGATGGGCAGACGCCCTGGCTACTATCAGCTATGGGCACTCTATGGACAGGAGAGACATCACCAATGCCATACGAGAGACTTAGCTAAGGCTGTGAGGTTTTCAGTCTCGTGGAAAATGATTTTTTTTTTTTACTGAAAAGACTGCATTACCTGGGTGTACCAAATGGAGCTGCGAAACAGGAAAATCATAAATTAGAGTTGTTAGCCTAATAACACTTAGAGACATATTTGGGAGAAGATCGGAGCAATTATGGTCATGACCGATGTGCGACGAAGATTATCTCAAAAATGAACAATGAACAATTCTGGTGTCTATTTCAGCTCTTCAGACCACTTCGGCATATGTTTATCCCTGTCTTTCTCAACTGCTGGTTAGCCAAGATCGCCATGCAAGAAATATTTGTAAGTATCTAGTTATGTTTATTGCTGTTTGCATGCTATTGTGCGTTGTAAGTCCATGGTTATGGGCCAGCAGGGCAATCGAGGTAAAAATGTTGGGGGCTTGCAACTTCCCTCTGGCAAGATATGGGTGTGAGTTGTGGACGATCTCGCAGTCCTTAAACAACCAGACAGTTACTGGTACCATCGGCATTTTAACTCTTCGCTTGCTGTTGAAGAAGGGGACGGAGCGCTTGTGGGAGTGTTCCGAGTGCTGTAATGTTGATTCTTAATTCAACATTTAACATTCAACAACAGTCGCAGTCCTTAAGGAAGAAAATAGGGGCATTTGTATTGAATCTTTATAGAAGGATTATCAGAGTACAATGAGCCAATAAGAATAGAAATTCTGCTGATAGCTATAAGATCTGAACATCAAGGAAGATTCGCTAGCAAACAGTATCTTGTCTCGGGAACTGAAATGTTTTGAAAAGGGAAAGGGACAGAGAACATCCAAAAGAAACCCTAAGACGGAGGTGGGTGAGAGAGGTCACAGATACTGGTCTGGATTCCAGCCACATTGAAACAATGGTATCGGTTAAAGGTAATAGGTTCAAGTCCAGAGAATCGACTTCAATGCACTGGGTTCAATCCAATGTGTCTGTATATTTCAGTAGAACATCTAGCCACCTGTCGACAGCGTCGCATAAAGCGCGAATACCGTAGCTCCGGCGATGATCCCCGGGTCTGCGTAAAAGATGCACTCGTGAACTGAATGACGTAGCCGTGGAACCAACCCACGAACTTTAGTGTGCGAGGCAAACAGCCTGACCACTGCACCACGGAAACTCCCGAATTGCACGTTATATAATAGGATGATGATGATGATGATGATGACGATGAGGATGAGGATGATGGCGATGATGATGATGATGATGACGATGATGATGATGATGAGGATGATGACGATGACGATGATGGCGATGATGATGATGATGATGATAATGATGATGAGGATGTTGATAATTATGATGACAGTAGATTCATGATAGTGACATGAAATAATGAATTGATATTTGCAGAATGATCTTCACCGGGTCATGCAAAGGTCACAGTCAGCTTTAGCCCAGCAACTGTTGGTTCTGGGCGCCACCCTAATGTGTATTGTTTTTGTCAGGTATGTTGCTGTGTCCATATTTGTTGTTTGTTATTCTTTTTCTTCTGCGTTCGTTCTTAAAGGTACGGTCAGTACGTTGTGTTTTTGTTTACAGCTAGGCTGCGATATCTGCGCTTTTCGGCCTAACACTAGGGTGACCATACGTTCCGTTTTCCCAGCGAATCCCGGTTTTTCGATGTATTCCCGTCGTCCTAGGGGTACTCTAAAAACAAAAACAAAAACGCAAATTGTCACCGTTTTGTTAAAATCTAGGAATAAGCAGTAGAATAGCTGGTAGTTATTTAAAAAGTTACACTGGACAATACAATCTTACACATTTACCAACTGAAAGGAGGAAATATATAGATCTAGAAAAGTGTTTTCCTAGTAGGCTTTACCGCCGCCTCCCTTTTTCCCCTTTTCCTTTTTCCTGGGGGCGCTGGGACGGTCTAGGGGCAGTAGCCGCCAAATAGAATAAATTCAAGACAAGGCGAGTTTTTATAGCACTATTTTTTTTTTTTTTTTAGAAAGCCAAATGAGAATACAATTATTGCTAAACTCAATATTTCAAAGTTCTCGTGTCAAATACCAACTGCTGTGTGGAACGGAAGCATGGAGAACAACTAAAACAATTGATATTAAGTTACAGAAATTAAAATTAATGGTGCCTGAGCAGAATAGATGGAACTGAATAACGTAATCACTAATGTTGTGTTTTGGGAGATAACTAAACACGTTTTAGTGGATCGAGATGTGAAGAAAAGACGCTGGCGTTGGATAGGACACACGATGAGAAAACTTCAGAACAATATAACTAGAAGAAGCAGAAGAAGTCTGTCATGAGTGCTGACCCGTAGGTGCTCAATGCCATTGTCAAAATTAATGTAAGGAGGTATGCTGCGAAATCGTCGACAGCTCGATTCGAACCGTGAATTTCGGAATTACGAAGAAGGTTCGCGAAGATTGAGCCACAGACGCTGCCAAAGGCTAGCTAATGTAAGTTAAACTGCCTCGAAAAGCGACGCCAAAACTACCAGTTAATACCAGGATCATATTATGGAGTCCGGAAAAGTATACGCAACTTATCAGCTCTACAGTCAATACGGTTGCTTCATATGTGGCTTCCATTGCCTCACTGTAGGTAAGAAAAAAAAACAGGTTAGGCCCATTGCCTTCCTATCAAGCATGTCGTAAGAGTAAGGGTTTCTTTTTTTCCTTCGATGGCGACGTGCATCTGTCTGAGAGGCAAACAGTCTGCATATAAATAGGCCAGATCTGTAAAGCGGATGTACATGTAAAAATTCAAGTTTTGAAACAAGATCGATGTCCAGAACTGGACGAAACACCAGAACTTTCCGCCGCAGTTTACTGTCGGTGAACGCGAAAAAGAAAAAGAACAGCAGCTGAAATACACAATAGCTTTCGATTAGTTGATCAAGAGCCCCATTCAGGCACACTTGTGTTGGCTCTTCCTTGCTGAGATTGTGATATGCCTCGTGAGGTCCACACAAATGCTAGAATTAGTTCGTCAGGTCCTGACAATGTTACACAACTTATCATCGCAGCAATCAGGAGCTCCTGCCATGGACAACATCTTTCGATTAGTTGATCAAAAGGCACACGAGACATACTTATGTTCGCTCTTCCATTGCTAGCTTTGCGACATGCGTGGCGCGGTCAGTATACCTCCCGCTGTGGATACTCATGTTCTGTTATGTGTCTTGAACACGACTCACGCGTGCCATACAATTCCCTGTTCCGCCTGACAAGTCATTAACGGGTATTGATTGACTTGCTTTGTTCATTGTAATACATCTCATTTCGGTTTAGTTTGTTTCGGAACATTTTCCCGAGAGTGAGTATTTTTCAGAAGTTCGCTGCAGCCTACTACTGTAAATTACAACAGAAGAGTTTGTGTCAGATGTTATGTTATGTTATGTTATGTTATCACAATCGACGTCATTGCATATTAGGCATTCCCATGCGTGCTTAGTCCTCCGATACAGCAGCCACTCCCAGGTATTTCTACTAATTGTTCCCATGAGAAATTGGTTATGTGCTGGAACCTGGGGCGAGGGGGTAGGAGGCGATAGGTAGAAGTTAAGAAAGAAGAAGAAAGAAAGAAAGAAAGAAAGAAAGAAGAAAGAAAGAAAGAAAGAAAGAAAGAAAGAAAAGAAAGAAAAGAAAAAAAGAAAGAAAGAAAGAAAGAAAAGAAAGAAAGAAAGAAAGAAAAGAAAGAAAGAAGAAAGAAAAAAAGAAAGAAAGAAAGAAAGAAAGAAAGAAAGAAAGAAAGAAAGAAAGAAAGAAAGAAAGAAAGAAAGAAAGAAAGAAAGAAAGAAAGAAAGAAAGAAAGAAAGAAAGAAGAAAAGAAAAGAAAGAAAGAAAGAAAGAAAGAAAGAAAGAAAGAAAGAAGAAAGAAAGAAAGAAAGAAAGAAAGAAAGAAAGAAAGAAAAGAAAGAAAGAAAGAGAAAGAAAGAAAGAAAGAAAGAAAGAAAAGAAAGAAAGAAAGAAAGAAAGAAAGAAAGAAAGAAAGAAAGAAAGAAAGAAAGAAAGAAAGAAAGAAAGAAAGAAAGAAAGAAAGAAAGAAAGAAAGAAAGAAAGAAAGAAAGAAGGAAAGAAAGAAAGAAAAGGGAAAAACAAAAGAATAAAAGAAAGAAAGAACCAATCAACAAATAGAACAATAGATTAACAAAGTGATATTTTGGAGAAATAGACATATATAGAAATACATTTAGAAAAAGAATGTAGATTTAGGACTACGAGAGAGAGGGAGAGAGAGAGAGAGAGAGAGAGAGAGAGAGAGAGAGAGAGAGAGAGAGAGAGAGAGAGAGAGAGAGAGAGAGAGAGAGTATGGAGCAATAATGAAACAAATACAATAAGCTATAATAGAATACCCGGTCAAAGAAATATTTCATGGACAGTATGCACGTATAAAACTGACACATAACGTAATGAGAAACCCATATCGTTTATCCAATCAACAATACATGTAAGTGCCCCGTTTGTTTTTCCATTTGTCTGCGGTTGGATTATCCCGTCAGAGCAGCTGTCAAAAGTTGTATTGGCTCCTTTTACTCTCGCCTGAGGTACTGTATGGAGGTTTAGGGTCGATATCCAAGCTATTATTGTAGACGTTGATTGGCACCGTTCTAGTCGTGTTTCCCTTAATGGGCATTGTTTTAGGGCCGTGTTTACTCATAGGCGCACGATACTTGATTGTGGAGACATTTGATTGTGGAGACGATATTTGATTGTGGAGACGATATTTGATTGTGGAGACGATATTTGATTGTGGAGACGATATTTTATTATGGAGACGATATTTGATTGTGGAGACGATATTTGATTGTGGCGACGATATTTGATTGTGGAGACGATACTTGATTGTGGAGACGATATTTGATTGTGATGACGATATTTAATGGTGGAGACGATATTTGATTATGGCGACGATATTTGATTGTGGAGACGATACTTGATTGTGGAAATGATATTTGATTGTGGAGACTATACTTGATTGTGGAGACGATATTCGATTGTGGTGACGATTTTTGATTGTGGATACGATATTTGATTGTGGAGACAATACATGATATGGGAGACGATATTTGAGTGTGAAGACAAGAGTTGATTGTTGATATGATGTTTGATTGTAAAGATGATATTTGATTATGTAGATGTTATTTGAGTGTGGAGACGATATATGTGAACGTGATATTTGTTTACGGAGACGATATTTTATTTTGGAGACGATATCTGAGTGTGGAGACGATATTTGATTATGGAGACGATATTTGATTATGGCGACAATATTTGAGTGGAGATTATATTTGATAATGGAGACGGTTTTTGATTATGCAGACTATATTTGATTATGGAGACGATGTTTGATTGTGGAGACGATGTTTGATTGTGGAGATGATATTTGAGTGTGGAGACGATATTTATGAAGATGATATTTGATTATTGAGACAATGTTTGATTGGGAAGACGACATTAATGGAGACGATATTTGACTGCGGAGACGATATTTACTTATGGAGATAATTTTTGATTATGGAGACGATATTTGATTATAAAGACGATATTTGATTGTGGAGACAATTGTTTGATTATGGAGAAGATACTGGATTATGGAGAAGATACTGGATTATGGAGAAGATACTGGATTATGGAGAAGATACTGGATTATGGAGAAGTTACTGGATTATGGAGAAGCTACTGGATTATGGAGAAGATACTGGATTATGGAGTCGCCGTTTGACTGTGGAGATTGTGGAGACATATCCACAATTTCCACAATATCCATAAACTCATATCCGCATTACTTCCGACTGGAGAGGCAGGCGCTCTGGAATCTGGAGTCTAAGACTCATTGGGACCCTCTAGAAAATGTTGAAAGGGGTGGTGCGGGGATCTAGAAAATGCATTTTCAACGACCAGACTGTATCGTCAGCATTGTTCACAACCTGAGCACCGACCGATTTTCATGGCAGACCATACATGGATCTAATTATTATTTCACTGAACAAACTGAATAAATCAGGCGATAGTACATATCCCTGTCCAACGCCTTGTTTATTGTTTCAAAAATGCCTGCTTGGCTGTCAATTCTTATGGCTGCTTCTTGTTGCCAGTTTTTTTTTTCTTCTAAGATCTTTGCCATAAATTTTTAAAGGTTTCTAAAATTCTATCAATTTATTCTGCTACCACTATAAGTGCAACACAACATAAAATGGGACTGGAAAGCTCAACTAGGGTGTGGGGAGGGGGGATGGAAAAGGCACGCACAAATACAGCCAAAAAAGTTTCGACCAAAGTCTTTCATCAAAGTCTCTCATATTGTCATCAGGTCTTTTACAGTCATTCCCTATATACTACTACTACCACATAAAACTGCTACTACTGTGTTACTACTACTAGTGTTACTAATAATAGTGTTACTACTAATAGTGTTACTACTAATAGTGTTACTACTAATAGTGTTACTACTAATAGTGTTACTACTACTAGTAGTGTTA